GAGAGGTGGCACGTGAGATCTGATTTAAGATAATAAACAAATGAATCGGATTCACTGTGAAATGGCAAACAAAATGAGCTGCTGTCGTTCTGTGAGTTTGTGGGAGGTGTTGTCGGTTTGCTGGTGCAGATTCTTTGCCTCGTGCTGTCGTACGAGTCGCTGAGAGGTGGTCCGGATTATTTTCACAGCTGCAGGACTTTCTTGTTTGTCCTTCATTGAGAAAAGTGTCGGACGGAGAATGTGGAAGCCCCAAGTCATGCAAAAATCTAATTTATATGTTGACTGATTTGTTTCTTCTGTCTTGAATAAAAAAACGGCTATAGATGATAAAATGTTCCATTAAAGATGCTAGTGATGAATTTTAACTATTTTTTAAATAATTCTTTTTAACAATGCAGAGTCCAAAATTAATTAAAAGCTTTGTTTATTAAGTGTTAACGAGCTTTCTGCATGTCTTCACCGGGATGTATTCACGTGCAATATATTAAGATAAAACAGTGTTTTGTAAATGTAAATAAACAACAAAAAACTTCACGTTACCATTAAATATCACATATATCCTCCTATTATGTTGCATACTTAAGGTGTTGACAGGGTTAGTGTGCTGATCTGATAGCATGATTAGTTCTCCAGTGAGGATAAAGCAGCTCCAGACATGTCTCTGTTTGGTTTTCTGGTGCCAAAGTACTCAGATTTTGAAACCACGAGTTGACTTAATGAGTTGATAACCAGATTCTTTGTGTGTTTGTGGTCAGAGATACACAAACAAGATCCTTTGGGTGCGTTGAACTCTCTTTACAGTACAGATCCCTGAACATCTGCAGCTCAAACCAAAACCAAAATCTGTTGCGTCAACAATATACATACAGCAACTTGAATTACCGGTTTTGTTGACGTAGAAAGTTGTGACCTCTTAACTTCTCCTGAGTGATTCTGATTGACTACAGCTGCTGACTCCTCTGATCTGGTTTAACTAGAACCATCTGATCCACTCATTACACTCAGACACTACAGAGGGAAAGTCTGAGGAGCAAATCATTGACTTGAACAAGTCAGAAAGTCACTTGGAGCCATTTCAGAGCAGCTTCAGATTGGTCAGTATAAAGGTCATGGTCCAGTTGTGTTGCTGCCACCATCAGGAAGAAAACCCAAACTATCACCAAGAGTCAACCAAGAATCAGCTTGAAGCAGCTCTGGATGGATCAGAAGCTGCTGAAACACAGCTGTCAGTGTCCACAGGGTCTGACATCAACATGAGCTGAGAGGCTGATGGAGAAGGAAGTTCTTCCTCTAGAAGCAGAACCTTAAAGCTCCACTGAAGTCTGGTCACATGGACAAAGAAAAGACCTTCTGGAGGAAAGTTCTGGTCAAATGGAACAAACACTGAGCAGAAACATGTCTGGAGGAGAGAAGGTGAGGCCTTTAACCCCAAGAACACCAAACCTACCATCAGGCATGGAGGTGGCAGCATCATGCTCTGGTTCTGTTCTGCTGCCAAAGTAAATGGAAC